TTTATGCTGCATCTAATGGTATGCAGTTTGTCTGGATTGGTCGCTTCGATTTTTGATCATTCCCTTGTTAGGTCAGTCAAGAACGTCGCTTTTTCGCTGAAATGGTCGTAGATGCAGTCAACACTCTTGACGAATCTCTGCCTTTGAATATGATAGGTATTAAGAAAGTTGCCGGTGGCAATCTAAATGTAAGTAGAACATTTTTTTCTTGATTCGTCGTTCTCTGCAGAAAAAGGTGTGTTTAGGAATCTCGTCTCGTGCAGGGTGTAGCTTTCCAAAAGGCCTTCAGCTATGCTGGATTTGAAATGCAACCTAAGCATTATGAAAACCCTCTTGTTGCGCTACTGAACATCGAGTTGGAACTGAAAGCTGAGAAAGACAACGCAGAAATGCGTCTGACGACAGTGGAGGAGTTCCAGGCGGTAAACACATTTTCCGGATTTCTTTTGTTATGGAATTGCTGTTTTGATTCTGCGTTGCAGGTAGTTGATGCTGAATGGGATATTCTCTACAATAAACTAGAAAAAATCCATGAGAGTGGCGCAAAAATTGTGTTGTCAAAGTTGCCAATAGGGGACGTGGCTACTCAATGGTTTGCTGATCGGTGCGTCATTTTCAAGATTGTGTATTTTGATTTGTTAGTTGTTATAATTTCGGTGCCTGGGGTCTTTTTTTCCGTCCTATATTTTAATGCTTTAGGGACATGTTTTGTGCTGGTCGTATCCCTCAGGAAGATTTGGATCGTATTATGGCAGCCTGTGGTGGTTCTATACTTACTACTGTCTCCCAGATTGATGCTTCTGTGCTAGGAAAATGTGAGAAGTTCTACGAACAACAAGTTGGAAGCGAACGGTGAGCGAAAGCTATACTTTCTTCAATGTTTACATTCTACAAAGTCAGTTTAACATGTGAGGCCAAAGAGGCTTTCGTGGGAAAAGTGTGTTTATAAACTCAGATTGAGATTGGCTTGTCAGCTTTCTATAAACTTTGTTTTCCCAACTATTTTCTTATTGCAAACCTACTCAGACAGTCAACCGGAACTTCCGCAGAACGTTTGCG